CGTCCCACCTAAGCAACCTCCTCCAATGAGGAGTCAGCACCTACAGCCCCCAGAAGAAATCGGCCACCAATCAGCAACTGGCCGAGCGGATAAAACTAAGGAAACGAGGCAGAAGCGCGTCCTTTTTTGGAAGTCTTGGCAGTTGGTCTTACGAAAATTAGTATTTTGATAGTCTCGTGGCGACATCACCTCAAGTATCACTCTGTTGCAAATAAAACTAGTTCTTAGCATTTCACACTGAATAAATCAAGGTGTGATTAAACTCGCGTACCGGTTCGGCAATTAAGCATCGAACATTACGCGACCCGAACAAGATCGTAAAAACGAGTCTTGAAAACGCCGTTCGAGGGTACGCGTCTCTAACCGTCTCGGCTAATCCTATGGGCCGCGGGATCCTTCAGGTCCGTTTTACAACTGCCTTGAAATCTTAAAGTAAAGAAAAGAAAATGTTCGGTACGGAACAGGTATATTCTTTATTTCGGATTCAGAGACAAGAGAGTTGGACTTGGTTTCACGTTATTAATTCTAACTGTGAGTATTACAACATTGATAACTTAATCCATTCGTTCGCCTCATTCACTCATTTCCTTCATTCCGTTTTGCCTTATTCCCCTAACTTAACTTAACTTAGTTTTTCCCTTTCTTTTTCAACTTTCTGAGCAAATCTTAACGAAGGCTAAATAATACACGAATGGTCTAGGGATTTTCGAGCTCACGATGTTCGATGAGTTAGATCAATATGGAGTCCGGTAATCAAATGTTTCGACGCAAACAGCGACTGTTTGCTCGACACCCTGCATAATCTAGCTCGTATCGATTGCTGAGCATTGAAATTACTGGAAACGAACTTTGAAATTCTAATCCTCATTCGTCGAGTACTTTCGATGAGGCCAATTTTCCTTTCTTTTTTGTATTTTAAAATACAGACAATTATTAAAATATTTAAATATGACAATTATTAGATTTTATCTCTCTAAAGGCGAATCTTTTCATAATTTGACGATAGCAACAACTGTAGCTTATTTATTAAAATGCAATAATTGTAATTATAGCGTATTTACTAAACTTATTAAGAAAATTTTAAATATGAATACTGGAGTATAATCGAATGAATTATAGGAGTAAACAAAAACACAGTTTGGTCAAACTGATCTGCGATAGCAATAACTATAGCTGCTCGTTCGCTAAAATTATTAAAAAATTATCACTTTGCAATTGTTACTATGTTTTCAGGGCTCGAATGTTTTCCTTAAAAATTTTTTAAAAATAATCTCCAGTGAAACCTTTTCCTTCTTCTTACCTATAATGATACAATTTTCACAATTTCAAAAACTGTAACATCACTTATACGTTACTTCCAAGCATAAAGAGGGGGGAAAAACTGAACAGCCATCGAAGAAAAGCACGAAGAGAATCTAAGCAACTCGAGTAAAAATATCCTTCAGTTCTCTTACAATTAACGAACAGCAAACTGAACTAAAACACAAGCAACGAATAAAAGAAACAGGAAGATGGAGAAAAATAAGAGGAATATAAAAAGAAGATCCAGGAAGAAGCGAGGTTTCTGGCTTCGTCAGAAACAGGCGTCGTCGTCGTCGTCTTGGTCCAAGAGACATTCTTCAACGCCAGTGAACACCGTCGAATTTCAAAAGCGACGAGGTTCACGGCCGTTTATTTCGTTAATGACGACTGGCCGTTGTGGATTAATGAGGACGTGGCCCGCGACGCGGCGCCGGGACGCTCCTCTGCGCGTCGAATATCGACGAGCACGACCGAGGCGTAGCCCTCGAGAAGCCGATTTTCAGCTAAACGGGCCTGGCATCATCGATGCTCAGCATGAAAATAGACACACGCGGAGTTGCTTGTGCCTCGCGCGCTTCTCTTTTTCTTTCGTTTCTAGAGGCTGCTTATGTAATTCGTGGAAGTTCGTTAGCAGAGACGAGAGGAAGGATTACATGGTTGAAGGGTTAAGGAATATTTCCTAGAAGGTTTCACCGGCGTTTTCAAGTTGCTTGAAGCTTTTCTGATGGTTCCAGTAAGCTTAGGAAATTTTTCCGAGGTAACGAACACGAGATCATGGAACTTTGTTTGGGTTTTCTTCAAATTCTTGAGTTTGTAGAGACGAGGAATGTAGATGTAGTTGAAAGTTTAAGATGCATTTTTCAATTATCTGTACCAAGTTTGGAATTTTTTCTTTTTTTTTTTTGGACGTGATAGAGTACAGTGCTTTCTCCAATAACGCGAGCGTTAGGGACGCTCCCCAAGCTTAATGGAAAATTAAAGTTGTATTTACATTCTACCAATGCATGTGCACATATTTATATTACGTATAGGGGAGAGCGGGGTAATTCTGGCTGCATAAGCAAGAAATGTTATAAAATTTGAACAAGTTACACATTTGTTAATTTTTTGATATTAATTGATAGCTTGAAGTGTCTAGTTTGTATTAGTACGGCCGAGAAGGCATGAATTCACGTTGTAATAAAATTGGAAACAGAAAACTAAAAGGGGGCATTTGGCTGAAATTACCCCACTAGTGGGGTAAATGATTTTTCTTTGTAAAAGAGGTAAGAGAACTGTTAAATTAATAAAAATTTTACTATCTTTTGTAGTTAGCAGTGGTTTCACTATTTTTGTTAACTGAATTTCTTGCTTTTCTTCCAATTTTTCTTTCTTGAAGGGTAGAAGATTGTATTCCAAACAATTGTGCTACCTTATGCATTATATGGACAGTGTTTTCTTACTAATGACATCCATGGCCTTTAATAAATTTTCCTGACTTCAATCTGCCTTCTTCGTAATTCTTTTGTATGTTCGTGGCACCTACGCCAGAGAAAAGCTGGCTGGTACTACACACCCTTGAATTTTGACCGGTATTACCTCATGTTCAGATATTTCAAGTAACACACTGAATTGAATTTACATATAACAAAAAACCGAATGTGACTTTGAAAGTAGAAACATTCCTCTATTTAATGAGGTTAATATTAATAATTTACGTCGATTCTAAGTACTAATTTACTTTGCTTGAAAATTGGCCACTGTTACAAGGTTTCGTTGCAAAATGAACATTTAGATACTGTTTAAAACAAAAGAGAAAATTGGCCACTGTTACAAGGTTTCGTTGCAAAATGAACATTTAGATACTGTTTAAAACAAATAGTCACAGAAACGATGAATATTAGCTAGTTGCATCATTACCAAGTGGCAGTACCATACAAAGTCAAATCACGCGTTTTTTTATTTTGAGATATTAAAGTGACCGGAATTCCGGACTCCGAAACACGTCCACCTAAACAAGATTTATGACCACCATAAGATCCCCCCCTACAAAACAGGGCAAGTTTTATTTGAAACATTTTTTGAAACTAGCTGTAGTTTGGGAAATAATTGCGCGCGAAATTTCAAATGGGACACCCTGTATAAGTCCCGGGAATGAAACAGGAAGAAACTGATTTGTTGTTGTTTCATAACTGTAGAACCATAACTATAACACATCTTATTACAACAGAAATAAACTTAGGATACGATAAAACGAAATTATAATAGTAATTAATCTAATTTGTAACGCGTAGACCCTACATACGGACGTACTGTGAAATTGTAGCTGAGTAGCTCGCAGGGACACGCTGGTCGTTTGATTTTTCTCCCAAGTTCCGCTGTTCATTATGTATGTACTTGAATTCGATGCCACTGCTTCTTGTATGCAGCGGCAATTTGCGAGGAATTAGTTCACAGGAACGAATATGCTAAATATGTAAATTGATTCGATCGCGTACAATCGAAACCGCGTTGTTCGAGGGAGCACTGTATTTATGAATTTTTGTTTGAACTTGTTTGAAGTTATTACAAAGTATGTTTGTGGAGATGAAGGTTACAAATAGTTGGAAGAGTCGATCGCGTACAATCGAAACCGCGTTGTTCGAGGGAGCACTGTATTTATGAATTTTTGTTTGAGCTTGTTTGAAGTTATTACAAAGTATGTTTGTGGAGATGAAGGTTACAAATAGTTGGAAGAGTCAAGATGCATTGTTTGAGATTTCTGAATGATTTGTATCAGTTTGGAAATCTTTTTTTGACATGACAGACTATTTGTGAATTTTTGTTTGGACTTGTTTGAAGTTGTTAAGGACTCTGTTTGTGGAGATGAAGATTACAAGTAGTTAGAGGGTCAAGATGCATTGTTTCAGATTTCTGAATGATTTGTATCAGTTTGGAAATCTTTTTTTGACATGACAGACTATTTGTGAATTTTTGTTTGGACTTGTTTGAAGTTGTTAAGGACTCTGTTTGTGGAGATGAAGGTTACAAGTAGTTAAAGGGTCAAGATGCATTGTTTCAGATTTCTGAATGATTTGTATCAGTTTGGAAATCTTTTTTTGACATGACAGACTATTTGTGAATTTTTGTTTGGACTTGTTTGAAGTTGTTAAGGACTCTGTTTGTGGAGATGAAGGTTACAAGCAGTTAGAGGGTAAAATGCACTTTTTGGAATTTTTGAATGATTTGTATCAGTTTGGAAATCTTTTTTTGACATGACAGACTATTTGTGAATTTTTGTTTGGACTTGTTTGAAGTTGTTAAGGACTCTGTTTGTGGAGATGAAGGTTACAAGTAGTTAAAGGGTCAAGATGCATTGTTTCAGATTTCTGAATGATTTGTATCAGTTTGGAAATCTTTTTTTGACATGACAGACTATTTGTGAATTTTTGTTTGGACTTGTTTGAAGTTGTTAAGGACTCTGTTTGTGGAGATGAAGGTTACAAGCAGTTACAGGGTAAAATGCACTTTTTGGAATTTTTGAATTACTGGTATCAAGTTTGGAAATGTATGTTTGACATGATAAAATATTTATGAATTTTTGTTTGAGCTTGTTTGAAATTATCAAGGAGTTTCTCTGTGAAAATACAGAGGATATGTATTTTTTCAAGGATTTTGGTATATTTGAGAAACTTCTCGAGATGATTAAGATTAGTTTTCTAAATTGTCGAAGGACTTACCTTTTTTAGGTCCTTACTGGCGTCTGCTTCATCCGCTTTCCGCTTCTCGGAGATCTTCGGCGTCGGGACGGCGATCGTAGCCTCCCTTAGTGGCTTCAAATCGACCTGGAACAGAGAACAAACATCCCCTGTTAGGTGAAGTTCATATCAATATATCACTCAGATATCTCATTCTATAAGTACAAGCAATCCAAATATCTGTGATCTAGCGTGTATCAAACAGAAGAGTGTATTATATTTTCCTTGCTAAAATAATTACAGTTACTATTAATCACTTCAGCTAATCTATCCAATCTCCAATGCTGAAAAACCAGAAAATTCACTATTTTCCCCTTCATCTCTCTACATCCTCTTTCATGCAACCTAATTTGCACCAGTGAAGAAATATCTTTCCTTCTCAGTTGCAATTCCTAA